TCTTTAAACAAAAAAAAATACATCTTTAAAAGATGTTTAAGGCTGAGCTTGAGCTTAGCATACCCCTTGGTTTCCAAGGGGGAGACTTGGGGTCCATTTATGGAGAAGTATCAAAAACCCATTCGTAGTAACTTACTAACTGCTACCATCCAACCTCTGGCCCAAAAAACAACGGATTTTTAAGGCTAATTTAACTTGCACCCATTAATTATTATGATGAAATAAAAATGATTTAATATGACATGGTTTGGGTAAATCAAACTCAATGGTCTACAACTATTTTGTATATACTTAAGTATACATATCTTTTGAAGTGTTTTAGGTTTTAAAATAGAAGGTTTTCAGTTAAGACAGAATACATTACGGTTTTTAAATAAAGGTTGGCAGGATTTGGGGACATACCTCTTTCTATTAAGACAAAATTTTCCAATTAGACGGTGTAATCATATCTTGTATAATAATAATTATATAATGTGTAAAAAATGAATTATGTTATTTTTTCATATACACGATTGTTGAACATCATTTTTCTATAGCTTGTGACGAATCATATGATTCTCGATTTGATTCGATTCACGATTCGCAAATTAGGATTTCAATTGATGATACAATTCTCGATTCGATAATTACGCATAGCACTAATGATTGTGAGTTGATTGGTCAACCAACCTACATCCCACGGGGTGAAAGGCAGTAGCTTCTACGCAGACCCCCATCATCATGGAAAATATCCTTCCTGAACCATGAATCCAATGGTTGATTATTATTTATTTTTTGATAAGTCAAAATCCAATGGTTGATTATGGCATTTAATACTCTCTCGATTGTAGTTTCCAAAACAGCAAATGGAGTTCAAATTAAAAAAGACAAGATCCTACAGATCTCTAGCGCATGTAACTTAACTTAGGCCACTTTATTTTATTTCTCAATGATTCAGCAGACCCAAGTTTGAGATAAATAAAGCACAAACAGGCACAAAGATGGGTGGAAGATAAGTAACCTTATTCAGGTCTTTTCTCCAAATTGCAACTATCTCGGGAACCTTGCTTGGAAGATAAGACCGTGCCATCAGAGCAGCCTCAGGTATCCGATTGCTGCAAGAAGATTGCAATCAAAATGAGTACTAACCATGACTAAGGAATCTTTAAAGTAATGAAAATATTGAAAAGAAAAAAACACCTGTCAATCAAAAGCTGTAGGCACTCTTCCAATTTACCCAACATGAATAAACAAAGGAAGGAAACATTGTTTTTCCCTTGCTCTTTGGCAAGAGATGCAAGTTTTGATATCCCTTCTACATCTCCTAAAGAAGAGTAGAGTAGCAACAAACCACTTAGGTCCATTGCATTCCTTAAACAGTCCTCTGCCATCTCTAACTGCAATACATGAAAAGTAGGGCCCTTTAGAAAAACAGTGAAACAAAAGAGCAAAAATCTGCCATTGCCATGATGATTGTCCACAGAAGCACAATTATAAATGTACACAAGGAACACACACACACACACACACACAGAGTAATTGCCTAATAAAGCATCACATTATATATGTAACGTTCAAATCAGTACAAGTTCAGTCTTCCATCTTCATCACCATGAAAAAAAAAAGATCTAAACTCAAGCAAGGGAAAAATTTATTGTTCGTAAAGAAGTTGTCCTTGTTACACGGTCTTGAGTAGAACTCAACTCCAAAAGCTAACTCTTGAGGTGAGGGTGCCCTCACGCTTATATGTTTAACATTACTTTAGTACCCAGGCGATGTGAGACTTTGCTTCACAATCCTCCACACGTATGAGAGAAAAGTTGCAGACATGTGCAGCAAGATGCAGCTTGTGCGACTTGTACAAGCCCAGGCGAGGCGCATTCAAAGAGGCGCAGTGAGGAGCGCACCTAAGCACTTAAGGTGCAAGGCGCAAAAAAAGCGAGTTTTTCTTTATTTTTTCTTCTCTTCTGCTCTTCTTTTTTCTTCTTCTTTTTCTTCTCCAGTTGCTGGGTTTGATTTCCACCCCTCCTGTTTCTTCGTTTCTTCTTCTTCTCCAGGTGCTTATATTTTTTTTCTTCTTTCTTTCTTTTTTTCTTCTCCTCTCTTCTTTTTTCCTTCCCCTTCCAGATTTCAGTTTGCTTCTCTTCTCCTTCATCTTCTCTGATTCTCTGCTCTGTTTTGCTGATTTTCTCTTTTCTTCTGGTTTATTGCTGTCTTTCAAAGATGTTCCAAATTATCCTCAGCCCCTTGTTGCACTGTCAAGATAAAGTTCATCTCTTCATTTTTGTTTGTCCTACTTTGTTTTAGTGGTTATAAGTTGTGAATTCTTTATTTGATTATGTTGATGTCCAAATTATTACTCTGTGCTAATTTATCTATTTTTTATTGAACGGTGCCCCTTGCTTCAATGAAGCATGCACCTCACCTTGCGCCTAAGCCCCAAGAGACATTCGGCACCTTGGTGCACCTTAAGCCCTCAAAAAACTGGGAAAACCCATAAATCACATGTTCATTGGTCACC